AATTTTTGAACTCAGTAAAAAAAATTGACCCAAAAGTAGGGAAATATGTATTGAACAACGTGGAAGAAGTTCTTACCTAAACAACGGGTGGATAACAGACGGAGGCTTTGAAAACACAATATGACGGATCCATAACACCAATTATATCCCAAAACAGAACTGAATATAGCTGTATATCAAAACAAACCTACTCTTCTTTTCACGCTGAAAGTTTGACTCACTCAGTTCAGCACATTTAAAAGGACGTGCTATTTCATGAGGGTGGCATCCTAGTGTGACAACTTATCACCACCTTACCATGAATAAAACATCTTGCACCCAGAAAAAGAAAAAAAAATGTTGTCATTCCTTTAGAGTCTAAAGACAAGAACTGTAAGTCTAGTCTGTATTTTTGCCATTAGGAACCCAAACAGTACAAAAACACCCCAAATGCTGTATGTCTGACAAAAGTTGAGGGGAAAAAATCCAAAAGCAATTGTCAACCATATTGAGAATTAAACATACAAATAAATAAATATAAATAAACATCTAAATACTGTAAATGTACATCTCCAATCTACTTAAGTATCTAAATACACATATTTCTAAATACCTACATATCTAAATCTCTACACAAGTATCTAAATTAATATCTACATATAAATATCTGAAATACCTAAAAAACAAAACAAACATCTAAATAAATAACTTCATATCTGAATAAATATCTAAACAAATGCCTGCTTAAGTATCTAAATATCTACATATCTAAATAACTAAACATCTAAAATATCTAAATAAATACCAACATAAGTGAATTAACATCTACATTTGTATCTACATATCCAATATCTAAATATCTACATTTCTAAATAAACTTCTAAGTATCTATAAATATCTACATAAATAAAAAACAACCAACATATAAATAAATATCTTCATATCTGAATAAATATCTAAATACCTGTTTAAATACCTAAATATCTACATATCTAAATATCAACATAAATATCTACATATCTAAATAACTAAACATCTTAAATATCTAAATACCTACATAAGTAAATGAACATCTACATAAATATGGCAATCTACATATCTGAAATACCTAAAAAAAAAAATAAACATCTAAACAAATCTCTTCATATCTCAATAAAAATAAATACCTGTTTAAGTACCTAAATATCTACATATCATAATCATATCTAAATAACTAAACATTTAAAGTATCTAATTAAATACATAAGTAAATAAACATTTACATAAGTATCTCAATATCTACATAAACATCTAAATGCACAAATATCTAAATAAATATTGAAATGAATTAGTGTTAATTACCTAAAGAAAGAAAGAATGAATGAATGAAAGACAGTACAGAACAAAGCTTTGAATAATGTTTTATTCATAATTTATACCAGCAGATACAAAAATGTTTTAACTGTATCCAAATGTGCAAGAAAACACTATCGGTACTTTCATTAATTCAAATTAACAACAAACAGGAACTGACTTTGGAAAACTGACCGTGTAAACTGGAGTGAGCAGACCCTTTTGGACAAAAAGGACTGAATTCAGAGCATTATCATCACGAACTAAAAACGTTGACTACAATTTTTGCATCTGACTTTCTCAAGAGTATACCAAAGTCATTGTGAATACATATCTAGGTGACATTCTATCTCCCCCGTTTTGTAATTAAAAAGGCAATCATAATCGTAAAGCAGCACAAATGTGTATAACACATTAAAGAAATACGTTTGTAAAATTGTACCAAGAGATATAAACAAAGAGAAACTAATCTGTACTAAATACATCATGTAAACATTCGCCTTCATTCGCAGCACAAGGACAACAGAACATGGATCAGAAAAATAGATATTTCAGTGAAGCTTGTTAAGTGCTCCGCTGTCATCGGTTCAAAATACTTCAGCAATCTGAACAAGCAACATCTAACGGCATACATACAAGGTCATGAAAATGATATTGAACATGAAGGAGTCCCGGCAACTTTGCTTCTTTTTTAAACACATGCTCACACGCACTGAACATTTTCAGTGTTTATCTATAAAAATAAAAGAACTAAAGGAAATTCAATGTACATTGCGGTCACTTCAGTTCACATTTATTTTTTGCATTAGTCAACTTCCACATTCTGGTAAACGTGTTTTCAACGAATTGAAAATCTTGTGCCTTGCCTAAAACATTCCTCTTTTTGTTGCTTCCTCAACCACACTCGCAAACACACAATTTAGGTGATTCTGACATCCAACAACCCTTCATTTCATTAGAAAAATGGCAGCTTTGCACACTCAAATACAGCAAATAAACATGAACATCATATTCTTTACCAAAACACACATAGATACAGCATTTCAATTAAGTTTCCGGGTGTGTTAAGGAGCAATTCCCGTCTCAAACTGTTCCCTCGTATGCATTACGTAAAACAAACACATTTTTCACTGAAGGAATGAACTCTATGGGTTATGTTTTCACTAATGAATATATAAGATGGCAAACTGTGTTTATTTGACAGCTAACCTTCAAAGTCTCCCCAAGGTGTCTCACGAATACTTTCCGCGGCATTGTTCACCGGTTTCTGTGAACGGCAGTTGGCACTTTTTTTTAAAGGCCCTTAAAAGCCTTAGACCATGTGTGGTGCGAAACCGCAAATAGAAAGTTCTGGCTCTGATTCACAAACATTCAATATGCCAGCTAAAGAGACATTTACAAGCTCCCGTTTGCTGATTATCCCAATGTAATCCAAAGCCAAGCAGCGCCGACTGAACCATTTCATGACATATTTATCCCAGCATCATTTAAGTAATGCGCAAAAACCACCAACTCTCACAAAAGACGAGCATCCAATTTTTCCTATCTGAAGCCCTGTTAAACAAAAGAAAAGCAACAGATAATTCCCTTTCAGGTGACCGGAAAGAGGATAGGTGGTGTGGGAAAAACAAAACGGACAACAGTGTATAAATTCTCAAATGTCTGAATGCAACATTTTTGGCTTGAAGCAGAGTTTATGAAATATTGACAGGCTGACATGCTGCTATTATGGAGGACAGAGGGTGAGGAAAGCCTTCTGTCGTTCGGCAAAGGGCAAAAAAATCTCCCATATTCACTCAAGAACTTATGAATGCATAATTCCTTTGGGATACTTGCAGATTAATTGAAAGTTTGCTCATGGTTCAAGTATAAACAAGCGAATATAAAACTGTGCTTTTAGGTTTTGGGGCTCTGATTCACACACATTCAATATGCCAGCTAAAGAGACATTTACAAGCTCCCCTGTTTGCTGATTATCCCAATGTAATCCAAAGCCAAGCAGCGCCGACTGAACCATTTCATGACATATTTATCCCAGCATCATTTAAGTAATGCGCAAAAACCACCAACTCTCACAAAAGACGAGCATCCAATTTTTCCTATCTGAAGCCCTGTTAAACAAAAGAAAAGCAACAGATAATTCCCTTTCAGGTGACCGGAAAGAGGATAGGTGGTGTGGGAAAAACAAAACGGACAACAGTGTATAAATTCTCAAATGTCTGAATGCAACATTTTTGGCTTGAAGCAGAGTTTATGAAATATTGACAGGCTGACATGCTGCTATTATGGAGGACAGAGGGTGAGGAAAGCCTTCTGTCGTTCGGCAAAGGGCAAAAAAATCTCCCATATTCACTCAAGAACTTATGAATGCATAATTCCTTTGGGATACTTGCAGATTAATTGAAAGTTTGCTCATGGTTCAAGTATAAACAAGCGAATATAAAACTGTGCTTTTAGGTTTTGGGTAGGTTGTCACCAATTCCTAGCATTATTTTCTTCTCTCAACCAGAGCGACAACAAAGAGTGACGGCAATCATTCCAGCGCTAGAATATGAAATACTTAAAATGGTGTTTATACAAGACAAATAAGATGTTCATGAACCATAATAAACCTTTGCTTAATGTACATGAGCCCAAAATGATTTAGACAGAACAGAATACTGTATGAACCACACTATAGCCTACAACATAAATAAAAAACAAAACCTCTTTTGTTCTCAACCTGCTCCCTTTTTGTATAACATCACAGATTCGTGGCATTCTGCATGTATTCTTCTATAACATTTTGGATGTGATTCACAGTCCTTTCTTTTGTGGCCTTCTCATACCTGACTGAACCGAATTTGTTGTTGCACAGATCTACAAAATCTAATGGACGAATAAATGTTTTACTGTTAACCTCTAATAAATGTAGAACATTAATCCTAAATAAATACTTATTCTCTTACAAAAGTTGTCTGTCGAACTTTGACGCATTCGACGTGATAACTGTATTCCAGTCATCCAGCATATTCGCAAGTTTCATTAAAGTACCGATTTGTTGAAGGAAAACTATCAAAACCTGCCAAAAACATGGCTGACATCATATTTCCAGAGAAAAGCAAATTCGCTGTAAAGGTGCGATCACATTCATCATTGTTCGGTGAATTTTAAAACCCAGTCATTTCAATAGGAATCGACACGATTGGGAATTGTGAAAGATTTCCTCACGCAGATTTCGCAACATATTCGCCTCATTGACCAGCAGAAAGATGCTTGTTTGAAAGTGGTTTCGATGTTAGCCGTGCTTCACTACTGAAAATAGACCTCTTTTGCTCACGAAATTTCGCAAATGTGACCACACCTTTACACTACAGCAAAACTATTGATGAATGAAGCACATTAATGCAACATCCAATCCTCAAATCCAAGCTTTGATAAGAGTATCAGCATTACTGCAAAACATATTCATATAATCAATATGAATGTGTATTAGGCATGGCATCCCAATCCTAAATGGTTTCTAGACTTACCGCGTTGCTCCGAAAAGACCTGCAAAATGTAAAACACTGAATCTGAGCAACAACAAATTAACCGCATATATGTGTGGGAAGATCGGATAGTCAACCTACGCAACTGATCACCTGACCTCCATATATGTAAACTGTTTTAAGAACGCGCCATTCAACAAAAAGTGCAATTTACTACCATATCCCACTAAAGTCCATTCAGTAGTGCTTCTCCTGCAAATAATCTTTCATTTTGTTTGGTAAAGGCAGTTTCTGAATCAAATCTATCCGCGTGTACTGTCGGATGACAAAGCGGCAAAGATATTGCAGGGAACGTACTTGCATGAACCGAGAGACGGAATTGATCAAGCGAACGGGGTACGTGGCAGACCCCGGCAGACGGGATCTGGAGTAACAGAACGCGCCGTTTTCAGAGTCTTTTATAGAGTGCTCGATGAGATCTACGATGGAAGTGTGACCTTCTATGTCTGGCTGCTCGTAAAAGCTGAATCTGCCATTCGAATGTTCGATCCTGGTGTGAAGCGTCTTTCCCTGTGACCGAAAGCTCAGGCTGAGGAGATAGCGATCGTCTGAACTGTCCCTCACCAAAAAAGAGCCGCCTGGAAGGTTGATAAGCTTCTCCTCAGCCTCCCATCGAGTTATAGGTCCCCAGTACCAACCCTGCTTGGCCAGCTTTTTAAGTTCCTCCGTAAGGCTTGTTACAACCATGGGTCCGCTGCTTTGGAAAGAATCGTACACCCTGCTAACACCGGGAGCGGAATTGGGGTCAAAGTTCAGGTGGTGCCTCACTCTCTCGACAACATGAGAGTCTGCACCACTGAACCCGGAGAGGGTCATTGGAATATTGTTGTTGGAAAGAGGTGACAGGGAGGGAGAAAATAAAGGTGTGTCGGCTCTGGAGTTGGAAAGGACCATCGCCGGAGTACCAGGATGGTGTCCGTTCACCGCCTGCTCCATGAGAATGTCCGATGGCATGAGATCATGGTCATTCGGGCCCTGATCCACGTGCGACGAGCTAGATTCGACCTGATCGACCACTTCCATTGGCGAGGGACCATCCAAGCAGAAGGACTGGGACGAATCTGGGTACATTCCCTCATCTAAAGGCATTGTGTACTGGATGTAGTCCTGAGGTGTGAGTCCAATAGGCACGTGATCCTCAATGTTCAAATGCAAGTTGCCACTCTGAGTATCCATGTCCTTCAGAGACTCGCTCTGATCCTGGAACAAACCTTCTAATTGGATGTCATGGAACTCCTTTCTGATGCCATTGAGGGAGGGACTGGGATTGGGGGAGTGGACCATAGCTTTGACTTTCACCTCCATCTTGATGCAAGCCTCTTCAGAGACGACTGGCCGGAAAGGCCACGGAGAAGGGCTGTAATGATGGCTTCGGAGGGACGAGGATCTTAAGGGCCGCTGGGCTTTGACTTCATTAAAGCTTATCGGGACCGACGAGGAAGAGAAGGTGTCGTCATCATCTCCAGAGCCCACCGTGGTGGAGCCTCCTTTGACTTTCGCTTTCTGTTTGGTAGACAGTCTCCTCTTTAGAGTGCCCATAAGACTTTCGCTCTTCGATCGGTTCTTATGACCCTTCTCATCCTCCCCATTAAGATCGCAACCTACCAGCCCTTTGGTGTAACAGCCTCCGAAGAGAGAGTCATCCTTGGTGAACTCGGCCGCTAATGATGGCTGCTGGAGCATGACGAAATCCCCATCTTCTTTGTCCTTTATGTTAAGTGACTTTCTGATCGTCTTCAGACTGATCTTCTTCATCCTTGTACACCCAGTCAGGTGAGGGCATGGGACGGTCCTATCTGCTGACCAAAGGATGCTAACTGAGTCTGGCCATGTGACTGGGAAATGTCAATCATGTGAACGCCAAAGCCTTCATCATCTGCAAAATGTGAGATAAGACATCATATAAAAAGTGAAATAACCAACAACAAAAAAACAACAAACAAGAGTTCTTACTCGTTTTGATTTATCATGACTTTTCAAGTCATCTGATATATTAGCCAGTATTTGGATTTTTATTTTTATTTTCTGTGTGGCTGATAAGTGTCAAGAGTGGGACTTGTATTTTGACCACAGCCAAAGTGCAGATGCACAAGATTCCAATTTTCCATCTTCATTAGGTCACAAGCAAATGCTACAATGCTTTTTGGCATATTTTTTAAAACTGCTGACATTCAGAAAATCTGCATTAGGTCCATAAACCCTGCAAATTTTGTTAAATCCAGCTAAAGAGTGTATTACATTGTGTATAAAAATGTATGTTTCTCTGTGTGTGACAGTTTGTTTGTGCGAACTACACTGTGTGAATTAAACGTGGACAGAAGAGATCGGCTGACACTTGACTTGTTAGAGTGAGCAACTTTACACTATGCTGAGATATATCCAGTTTCCTGCTGTCATATTTATGTCATATTCACTGTGTATTGTATGTAAAATTAGCATTGCCTTGCCTTTATTTGAGTAATGTGACTCCCGTACCAGATTATTGTGTGCACTGTTGGTTAGTGTTTACTTCCTTTTTATTTCCCATATTTATATTTTCAGTTTCTTTCCTTCTTAAAAAAACAGAAAATTGATTTCAATATTATCTGATAATTGTAGAATTTCCATGACCATGAGAACCAAACAAAGCTACAAATACCTACATTTAACTACATAATCATTAGCTAGTTTTTAATGTATCCAGTTTGCAATGCCAATTCCACAAATCACATTTATTAATAATGCTTATATTCACAAAAACACAATTAGTACTTGTTTACTACCGTTTTGCACTTTTCACACATTTACATATTTAATTGAGTCCAAGTTAACATTTCAAACATGTGTAACATAATATATTATTGAAACGGGTTTAAAATATTATATATAATATTACAAAACTGTCAGATCTGACATTTGATGTTTATTGTTTTTATTTTACTATGCTCAAATCAACACGAGGTGCAATCTCGAAGGCTAACCCGGCGGTTATAAATAATGTGTTAACATAAAACCAATAGATCAGTTTACAAACACGTCCTTCACAAAATTTAAAACCAAAAAGTATTGCTTTGAATGCATTTACTTACTTATAATCGTTCATGGTGTTCCTCAAAAAGAGCAGTTTACTGCAGAACTGTCACAGGCCTTTATATAAACACATTTAGCTTGAATATGATACGACAGTATCTAACTCAATAACCATAAAGCAACACAGGACTAAAAAAAATGTAAATATTAATCAATTATAATATATTTTTAAGTTTGGACAGTCAGCTCAAACTCTGTAACTTTGTCTCACAAAATGAACAGGCCTGAAATGAGCTGACTTAGCTAGCAGGCTATGGGACCTTCATCATGTCCGACACAAATAGAGAGTGTAAATATTAACGTACATACAACAAATTATGTCCACTTACCACTTTAAATAGAGTTTAATCCCCCTTTCCTGCTTCAGAAAGATGGATCTGGGTCGAACGTGTCTGACGACGAGGGTTGCATTTAGCATTACCGTGCTAATAATAGACTGCTAGCTGCTAAGCTAATCCAGTAACAGCTCCCTCGCACGAACAAGAGCTACTTAACTACATAAACACCCACTGCTCGTGGTCTGTCATCATCTCATGCACGTGAAGAGCCGAGGCTGTTTTTTCCTCAGCTGTATTTGCCCGTTTGATGAGAGAAACATTCCTTAAAGTTTCATGACAGCCCCATTTCTCTCTTCCTCTTTTTTTGTGCTAGCTAGCCACTTTGGCTACAGTCCGTTTCTCTCCCTCTTCCTTTGTTGACTGTTGCATTATGGGAAAAGACTCTGAAAGGATAACAAGAGGGAGGAGGACGTCTGGACTGGGATTTATTTATTTATTGAAATAATATAAATAAATCCCAGTGCCAATATAAATACGTAAATTCACAGTTGTTGGACAACAAATCATGATATATACTCTATAGCAATAATATATTACTTATTATATGTTCAGTTAATTATTGAACTGTATTATTAGAAGTGTGAGATATATTATTTATGTATTATGGGAAAGGGTGTCAAGGTTGTTTATTTTATTTTATTTTATTTAATTTTATACAGTAAATTCACATTTGGTGTGCAAGCCATCACATAATATGACTTGACAAGGTTTGAGACTTTGAATGCAAGATAATATTTCATACCTTATATTAAAGTGTTTATGAAAAAGTGTTATCTGAAATGAAAAGTCTATTATTAATGTAGCTTATTATATGAAATATGCAAGAGGAGGGTGTCAGTGTTTTTTTATTCATTCATTCATTCATTCATTCATTGTAGACATCTGCTTCAAATCACATATGACTTTGTCAAACTTTTATACGTTTTTTCCCTTCATCTATAATTTATTCATTTTAATTCCTGCTAATTTTTCAGTCAAATGTATTTATGCTGAATGCAAAACATTTTCATATTTTTCTGGAGTGCGTTTTCACGAGTGTCAGATTTGTATATACATACATACACATGCATACGTACATACATATACAGTAGATAGATAGATAGATTAAAAGTTATTAAATTCTCAGATCAGCACAGTCTTGTCATGTGGGTTGAATTATTATTTTTTCAGTATCTTTATAGTCTGAAATGATAGTGGATATTAAATATACTTAATAATGTAAACAAACACAGATAAAGACATACATATATTTATATTATTTTTCTAAACAAATTTAATTTACGAATATTTTGTCAGGTCGCTATCTTATTTTTTTCCTAAGCGCTTCGGTGTTATTTGAGATAAAGCATGAACTTTAAAGTAATTCATTGGTGGCCTAATTAGTGTCAGTATTGTTTTAAAGTGGGTAATTGTGTTTACTGCTGTTGGGCTAATTTGAGCCTTACTCTGAGATGCTGGGGGGGGGTTTCTACCCTTAAAGTTAAACTGTCAAGTTAATAAAATGCGGTGGTGCTCTTTGTGCAGAGACAGCCTCTATGCAAAGAGTCTAATTACATGCCCCTATTAGAGCTTATCAAGCTGAACCACATTATATTCAGAGAGGAGGAGAAAGCCTGATTCGTTAAAAGAGCACAGTCATGCTTATAAAGGGTTTTTAGAAGACAAACCAGAATCTTTATATACAGATAAACAGGGTTTCTTTACATTGCATGCTTTTTCTGTCTTTTAAATCAGGAGATTATCATTTGTCATATCTCATATGATTCTTCCTATCTTGTATGAAAGCTGCATGAGCCAGAAATTATTTGCACAATATGTCTGCAGCATCTCTCACATTGATTTAGTCCTTCAGCTTGACTGTTTTCGCTGGGGGGGGGGTGTTGTCAGAGGTCCCTCAGTGCCCACCCTAATATCTTCAACACTTGCAGTGGAGCGAAAGACGTGTATTACAGACATGTCAGACAGTGATGGTACCGTTGGGACCACTTGGGTTTTTGTTGTCTGAGATTACTTGGCTAGAGCGGCTCTTGCTCTCCAGTCGGGGGTCATTTATTGGATTGATCATGTTTACCTCTTTAGCGTATGCCCTCTTTTTCTTTCAAGTCAACAAGTGCATGCTCTGGATGCATTAGCATGCAGGAAAGGCGATCCGCGAGCTAGTCCTTCAAAACCTCTGCTCGCTCCACATGGAGAGTCCTTAAAGGGTCTGAGAGAGTTTGCATTAATTACACCAGAAACAGCTGGAGCCGCACTGAATGTAATGAGTCAGCCATATACGACTCGAGCTGAATGCAATTAACGTATGCAAAGAAAACACCAATTATATTTACTTAAGCATGTAAAACATGGTTTGCTCATTGTCTTTAAACTGAGCTGATGCTTTTTGGGTGTAAATGTGCTTTGAAGTACTCTGGATGTTGTGTAAACAGTTTGAATTAGTGTCCTTATGTAATGATGATGGCCTGGTTGTGTAATGTTAACGTATGCATTGTAAGAGCATGAGGCATGTTATGTCACTTTCAGTTTTTACTTCAGCCCTTTAGATATTTTTTTCAGCTTTTTTGCCACCCTTTATGGATGCCAAACTAGAAATGTTTGTGTTTTTAAATTAATTTAGACATTTTTCAGGGGGGGGTTTTGCCACTCTTTATTGATGCCACACTAAAAAAATGTGTGTTTTTAAATTCATATTGTACTGGATATTATTTACGATTATTATTATGCCTCTAATTGCAGTGATTTAGCCATTAGGCATTTTATTTTACTTTATGGAAGAAAAAAATGTAATGTAAGTGAAACAAAGCTGTTGCATAAATTCATGCACACATAATAACATTGCACATACTGTTTAGTTTTTTTTAATAAAAATTATTTCCTGAATGTGTTATGCCATTAATTACAAACAAACGAATGAATGAATTAATAGTATTTTTTATTATAATTTCTGTTATTCTTTCTGTTTATTGTGGTGTAGATCTGAGTGAAATGGCTTCTCTAATGAGAAGAAAAATGTATGGGCGGGAACTGATTTTATCGATCAGGAATTGATTGAATCATTAGATTGTTGTTGTTTGCTAATTGCTGCGATCTGGTGACAGGAGGGAAGAAGTTGTATTCCTGCCTTCGTGCCAGTGATCACGTCATCAGAGAAGAGATGTATTTGCAAGGTTTTTTTTTTAAATCTCTCTCTCTCTCTCTATATATATATATATATGTGACCCTGGACCACAAAACCAGTCATGGCACCCATTCACTGCAGAGGATCCACTGGTAAGCAAGGGATGTAAGGACTCAGGGTGAATACATTTTCAGCAAATTTTCATTTGGTCAAATAGTCTTATCTATTGTGAAGTATATACCGAAAATAAACCGATATTTTTTTTTTTTTGAAGCAGTCATGTTTAAATTTGAAAACATATGTTTCTATTAAGCAGCTAGATAAGACAGTTTAGAGAGTGAGTGTGTGTAGTTTATTTTGTAGAACAAATGGTCAAAGTATTTTCAAGCTATGTTTACCACAGGCTTTATTTTACTCATAAATTGAAAAACCCCACTATAAAAGCCCATACAGGAAAATCTTGAAGGAATCAGCAGTTTTGACGTCACACCTACACCACTCTATATTGATTATGTCCATCTGGAATTAACTGGATTGTTGTTTGCTGATTGCTGTGATCTCATATGAGTGACAGGATGCTGGAGGGAAGAAATAATTGTCCACCATTGAGTCAGAGCACATATCGTCAAAGAAGAGATGGTGTTGTGAGGAGGAGGAGGGGAAGTTAATGTTTTTGAATAAAAAAAAAATTATGATGTACACAGATAAACTATAACAAACCGCGTAATAATTCAATAAAAGATATGAAATGTCCAATTTCACGGTGACTTGAACAAAGCAAAATCTGCATTTTTCCAGATACCCCCTAGAACCCGCTCACTGTCATACAGAAAGTCTAAAGAGTTTCAAAATAACCAAATAAGAAATCTGAGTGTCTACCTGGTCTTTGCGATATCAAATGTGTTTGGGTTATGTTCCATATTGGACTCTTAGTGCGGAATATTCATGATGAGTCCGGGCAGGAGCATGGGTGCAAGCCAGGGCGATAGATTTGGTTCATCAGCCAAGCACTTTATCTCACAGTGGAAAAGACGCAGAGCGATCCTCTCCGTACCGCAGGTTCGCATATCAGAAAGAGACAGCCATGTGGAAAATAAAACAGGGAAATCAGTCCAAATGTCTTCAGGTCAGGGATGTGCTGAGAGTCATATCAACCGGTCAGACCGCTCAGGGAGGAGACCACAGCACTGTGGTGTTTTAGACAAATAGAGTGATTTGGACAGTGAGGCTTCGGTGTACCAGAGGAGGTGATGAATCATACCGAACCCAGGACACATTCACCTGAAGGTGCAGTCTGTTTCCTCAGGCTGGAATGCTTTGAATGACTGATCTCAGATCTAGGCTGATTACCAGCAGGGTCTATCACAGTGAGCGCATGGTGAACATTTAGGTGTTTAAATCCTATTTCATCCGCCACATATAGGCCTTTAGTTCTAATATAGCCTAAAGACGGATGGAAGAAAGGTGAAAAACTCATCCGATGCTATCCAGAAGACCTGTCCTATGAAATCAGCCCAAAATGTTATATAATCAGTCTTTGTGGATTGTATAGGCTCATCAGACTGTACTGTAGAAAGTGTTGTATGGTTTGTGTGCTGTTATTGATTCAAGATTGTTATTAATAAAAAAACACAGATACACAAGACATCCGTTTATTTGATGATGAAGATCTTGGGATATTCATCAAGGACAACAAAATAATAAACATGTCATAACAAATATACAATTGATTTATATTCAGAGATTAAAGCACCAGTAATAGTTCACCCAAAAATGAAAATTTGCTTAAAATTACAACTAGGATGCCTTGAGGGTGAGTAATTCATGGGCTAATTTTCATTTTTTGGGGTGAACTATCCCTTTAATAGAGTACTTGTTTAAAGTTAAAAATGTCTTAATGATGGATTTGTTTTTTTACAAACACACAGCTTTTTTATAAGATATTAATTGACGGACTGCAGTCGTGTGTATTACTGTGGATTATTGTGATGTTTTTATCAGTTGTTTGAGCTCTCATTCTGACGGCACCCATTCACTGCAGAGGATCAGGTGATGCAGTGATAAATCCAAGTAAGTCCAAGATAAATCCATGAGTACATTTTCAGCTAATTTGAATTTTGTGGTGAACAGTTCCTTATATAATTGCAATGTATGTACTGTGCTCAGGAACATTCAAATGTCTTTATAATGTTTTTCTTTTCTGTTGTATATCATTTTAATTGTTTATAATGTCTTAAACCTTAAATTAATATCAGTTATGCTCTGCATGTGATGCAACTGCGTCTTTTAATGAAAAAATAAATATATGTGCAGCATTCATTTTAAAATCTATCACAGCTTTCTAAAATCATACAATATCACAGCTTTGTCCTCTGTATAATCCATAGACTATTTTCAAGTAAAAAATGTGTGCCTGCTGAGCCGTCTATCAAAATATAGAAGTCTTTTAATTATCACTTTTGAGGATCCTACTGTGTTGTCATATGTCACCGTCCAGAGTGTGAAAATCTTAGTCACCAAATAAATATAACATGTAAAATCATGTAAAGCGTTGTATAATACTATGTTTGTGGTTTCTAGAAAGTTGATGGGATTTGCAATGATGCCTAAAAAATGTTTAGTACACTAATCATGTTTGGAAAATAAAACAGATCACTGTAGCTACTCATCTCACTGTATTATATATATTTTTTATTGTGTGTAAACAGTGTGGTTTATAAAGGTAGCAGTGTTGTAATGAACAGTGACATTTCTAGCTAGTGAAAAGAGTCACAGTACAAATGCCACCCAGGAAATCAATAAAAGATACCTTGTAGGTCATCAAGTCCTCTAAAACTGTGGAAATCAATATGCACATTCAACAAAGTTGTCTCTTGACTTTTTCATAGCATGAAGAAAGGCACAAATCCAATGTGTACTGCTGTGAGAATTATTAGAAATGTTATACACTTATAACACTTATACACTTATTTTACACACTTAAAATGCAAACTTTAACATGAAAGGAAGCTATATTTAAATGGACAGTTTATCCAAAAATGAAATCATTTACTCACCCTCATGTCTTTTTATACATCTAAGACTTTTGTTTTAAACTGTGGAACACAAAAGAAGTTGTTCTGTTGAATGTAAGTTTTGGTAACAGGGTTGCAAAAAAACTGCAAACCACATAAAAAATGAATAGAAAATACAATAGCTCATATAATATTTAGTTTGACTTCCTGAGGCTCACCATGTGAAGGTTAAGTACCTTCTTTCACTGAGCATTATTTATTTGTGTTAGTATTAGTTTCATTTTACAATGGTAGGCTACTACTAGTAGGCCTATTTCTAGACATGTATAGTAATTAGTATTGAAAACATTAATAGCTTAATAAAAACTGACCCAGTTGTAAATAAAAAAATAAAAAAAGATTATTTAGTGATCTACAACTTTTATACAGAAACAAACAAGAGTAAATTAATAGCATAATTATGCTAAAATGTAAATGTTCTTACATTTTCATAAGGGTGCATTCAGATAAATTATGTACAGAATACAATCATTGATTTATATTCTTTATATTTTGCAAAATATATGTTTGTTTCAAGCTGTTGTAAAGCCCAAACAAATCTGCACGGCCTCTCTCACACATAACTTATCTGACATATACCGGAAGTGCCTGACAGTGGCGCGCTAGTTGAAAAAAGACCCGCGACGCTGCCAGTGATGACAAGGATGTGACGTTTAACCGAAGACCGCCGTTGATCTACAGTAAATGTAGTCCGTTTTGTTTTCCACCGGTGAGATAAACAACTATGGAGTTATCATCACTCATAAAGAAGATCGGTAAGACGCTTTGTAAGAGCGACAGTCGGATTTTTGAGCGTTAAACAACAAACAGCTGATATTGAAGTAGCCTGATTAGCTAAACAGAAGTGAGGCAGTATGTTATGATCAGTTAACTGTTATTTGGCATAAACATTTATGCATAATTACCAGTCATGCTAATATTGTTGTTGTATCTTGCAAAAAAGTATTTCTTTAGTTTGCTGAAGTCATACAAAGGCTAATATAACGTTGTTGCGCCTGCGTTTACATAGCTGCTCACTCACAAAGGATCTGCCGAAGTTTTCTTTGTTGTGTTTAGTTTATGATAACAACAATCAATCTGCACATTTTTTTGTAAACTTGTGTGGTTGAACTGCAATCTGTGTTACAGTATCAGGAAAATGCATCAGCCTGCTTTGCATACGCTGCAAATATCAATTTCTTGCTTAGTAGTTTTGTCTTGTTTTGCTGTACAAATATCTAAACATGATTGAATCATACATTTGCTTGTATCACACAATGACTTAAGACATTAAGTCTTGTTTTCTGAGAAATGTTTCAAAGTTTGTGTGTGAGTTTATGCTTAAAACAAGAAAAAAAAATTAAGAGGAAACAAGATTATTTTTCTGACCCCACTGGCAGATATTTTGTCTTGTTTTAAACAAAAGCTCATTAAATTGATACATTTCTCAGAAAACGACTTAATATGTTTTGTAATTTTGCTTCTCAAGCAAATTTATCTTGATTTAAAGGGATTGTTCACCAAAAAAAAAAAAAAAAATCTGTTGTTTACTTACCCACAAGTTTTTCCAAACCTGTATGATTCAATTGTTGAACACAAAATAAGATATTTTAAATAATTTTGGCAACTGAACCAAAGTTAACGGTTGGCTTCCACAGTATGAAAAAAATACTATGGGAAATCAGTGGCTACCGTCAACTGATTGGTTACCAACATTCTTCAAAATATCTTTCCTTCTGTTCAACAGAAAATAGGCACTCATACAGTTTTGGAACAAGTGGAGGGTGGGTAAATGATGAAAGAATTTTCACTTTTGGGTGAACTATCCCTTTAAGAAGGTTTACATTTTTTATTGAATAAATATAAGTGCTGTCAAATGATTAATCGCATCCAAAATAAAAGTTTTTGTTTACACAAATATATGTGTGTACTTTTTATATTTATTATGTATATATATAAATTACACACATACAGTATATATTTTGAAAATATGTACATTTACATGTATAAATTTATATTTATATAATTTATATTATATATACATATATTTAATATTTAAACATAAAATTTTTCTGAAATATATACATGCACGTGTGTTTATTTATATCTACATAATAAATATACACAGTACACACACATATTATGCAAACAAAAACTTATTTTGAATGCGATTAATTGCAATTAATCGTTTGAAAGCACTAAAAAAATATACACAAATACTTAGTAAGAAAATATATTTTTTGCAGTGTAAAGAGTGTACATTTTTGCATTGCATTATACTGTATTCATACATCATTATTTTTCTCCATAAGGACACTCCTTAGTGGAAATCAGAGTTCGGGCTCTTAAAAATATCAGAAGCAAACTGGATCATGGTCTCATCGCCATTCCTGATCTGGTCCAAGAAAGGATGCTGTTTGTCTTCCTTTTGGAATGGTTTAATTTTCCGGAGGTTCCAATACAGGAGGAAGTTCTGGAGTTGATCGGCACGCTGTCCAAGGTAATTATAATGCACAGAAGGTATGTAAAATGATTTGAGTGTCTTTATATTGCCAGGCTGCATTTAGTGAGATGTTCTCAGTGACAGGATGTGATGTTTTAATGGGCCTCACTGCAGTGGCACTATTCATTACCAATCAGATCATGAAGGGAAAAAAGTGCAAGTGGATGTCAGCATCCACAGAAAGAAACAGGCAGATTATTCTACTAGATGGCATGTTTTGAGTAGTATCTAATTTTGGTTTCCGTTCCATGTCAAAGCACCCAAGCGGAGCCCAAATGCTACGGGAGGTAGGGGCTGTCGAATTCCTAACACAGCTCTCGCCTAATGTGGATCCTCGCCTCCGAACAATCGTAGACGGCATCTTCGATCAGCTCTTCCACCTCCCAGAGGCTCTGCCTAGTTGTCCACCCACAACCTCCTACGAGCCACACTCTGTTCCCTCGCTGCAGACAGGTATAAAAACTTTACATTGATTTTATATCTTTCTGTTCTGCAGATTACTGTAGATATCGAAGTCATTATAACCAGTGTCAAGGTTGCCACATAGTCCTGTTTGAATAGCTGTCTTGACAGCAGCTCCGGAATGAACATGAGTAGACTGTCTGATTCAAGGCAGAGGAGAGCATGAAAGTGCTGGGCCTGATTCGCTTTTCAACTGCAGCTGCTTTTGTGTTCTCAGAAGACGACTCGTCGGCTAGGGGATATTTCCAGTGCAGTAAACCCAAGCAGACAGATGCTCCCACCCCCAGAGTATCATGTAGGTGACATCAACATCAAATTACTTTTTGTTAACTAACTTTCAGGGAGAGCTTAAACTCATTAAATCTGTAAAATGGATCACTGTGGAATGTATGTGTTAAATAATCTAATATCAACACTGATACGAATTGTCAGGCTTCGACAGCAAGTATTTTTTCTTCTGGCAAGGTTGGGGCGATTGTGCAGATTTGCATGCTAATATCTTTATTTTGTATTTTTAAAAAAAATTGTATTAACTTTAGCATTTTAGCAATTTTTTATGTCTGTCAATAGGATTTATATTATTTATATAAAATTTTTATATACAAAAAGGTTTTGAATTAAGCATCTTATTCTCACCAGGACTGCATTTATTTGATCCAAAATAGAGTTAAAAAGGTAATGTTGTGAAATATTATTGCTATATATAAATTACAAAAAAATATTTTAAAATGTAGTTTATTCATGTGATGCTGTAACTCCTGATGAAACATTGAAAACAGTGCTGCTTAATATTTTTGTGGAAATCATTATACATTTTTCAGGTTTCTTTGATGAATAGATAAGTTCACAGGAGAGCAGCATTTATTTCATAAATCCTTATTAAATAAATTGAATAAGCAATTATTAAATGCAACTTTACTGAAGAAAAGTATTATTATCTTTCAAAAGAAATCTTACTAACCCCAAACTTTAAAAGTTTAAACAGTATATTTTTAATGAGGCTTTTCATTTTATTTACAAAAAAGGAAGAAGTTAAAGCAATTAATTTGTAATTTTCAACCATTTGAACCGATGCTTGTAAGACTGTCCCAAATCATTCTTACGATTCTGTCAAAATCTAATCTGTTGTTATCTAGTTATACAATGTTGCTGCCATATTTATGTATCTTTAAGAACAGTTGTGTTCAACATATTTCAGAAACTAGATGGTTTAGTTTGCCATTAACACCTGTACACATTGTACACGATTAACAGACTTGAAGTACAGTATTTCACCCAAAAATGAAAATTGTCAACATTTACTCACCCTCATGTTGTTCCTAAAATATTGACAGAATTTTTTAAATTGTTGCTTTAAAGTTAAAGTTAAAGCTTTAAAATCGTTTGTTTAAAGTCTTGAGACTGAAGTCTTTAAGACATTTATATTCTTTTTATTTCTTTACCCTGCAGTCAGTACTTCTGTAAGATGCTTGAAGTTCTCTGTTTTTCCATGGCTGTCCTTGAACACAACCGATCGACATATATTGTCATCAAATGAAAGGTATTTGTACCCTCTGCTTGGTGTCATTTTACCACAGCTGCTATCTAATATATATATATATCTTATTTCCGAAATGACCTGTCGCTTGTTCAATCTTTAGTTCCCTCAGAAGCGACAATCACAATTTAGTACGAACCACCTGCGAGCTGCTTCGTGACGTCATCATGCAAGACTTCCCTGCCGAAATATTCCTGCAAAGGCCAAGTACAGTTCAAGTAAGATTTAAATTTCATTTCTGTCAGTTGTTTTAACCCCCTGATGGGATCTTCATAAATTGAGTGACAGTGATGAAAGTGATATCGTGGGCTCTGTAATCCCCGTTCCATTCTATAATTGAATGCCGCAGAATCTGATTGGCTGTACAGTGCATTCAAGTCGGGAAAGTATTGGAATGACAGCGGCAAATCGTGTCTTATGTCTAGGACTGTACCGTGGTGATTATCTGGCAAGCTGACACTAGCCGTTTTAGTACAGGCATTTAAAACCAAGCATTGCTGTATTTCTGTCAAAAATGTGTTGGCAGGGACACATTTGAGATCATCTTTCTAAGATATGTAGTCGCAATAGCCTCAATGAAAATGATTTATTATTCTGTTGTGCTAGAATAAAGCGTTTGAATTGTTTTGGAAGCATTCTCTTTTGTTCTTAATGCTCTTGCTCTTTTGTATAATTGTTTAAAAATTGAAGGTGCCACTGATTCTGACTTTGGAGTGATCCGTTCAATTAGGTTTATTGAATCAACCTGATTCATTGGCATTGTTTTGGTATCACTGGAGGGGTATTGCATTTTAAATTGGTACAAATTACACAAGTCAGTATCAGGTGGCCTTTTATTTAGTGCCTAATTGAATGTAGAATCACTTTCCTTAAAACACTTGCAGCATTTAGATCAGCGGTTGTGTTGTAATGTTATAACAATTGGAAACATGTTCTTGCAGGTTTACAAGACAACATCAACTTCTGTTTTCATATATTGCTGTTTTCCCCTCTAGAGTCTGCTGTCACTTCTCGGTCTGAATGTTGATGGTGATGTCAGCTACCTGACGTTTCAGGCATTGGCCTGTCTGGAACAGCTTTGCAGGAACTTGAGGAGCCGCCTACGTTTCTACAGAGATCCAAGCTTCTGCTCAGCCAAGCAAGGTACCAAACACCATCTATTATAAATATACTAACTTGTTCTGTGGAGGTTCACTTATATTAGCGCATATTTTTTTAGATTTTTGTAGCATTCTAAAAGTCAGAAAGTGTTTTTTTTTTATTTTTTTACATGCATTGGCTTATTAACTGTTACTATCAGTTGCATACACTACAGTTCAAAAGTTTTGGGTCGGTAAGGTTTTTAAAAATGTTTTAAATGAAAGTCTCTTCTGCTCTTCTTGTACAGTAAAAACAGTAATATTGAGATATGTTATTATAATTTAAAATAAGTGTATTCTATTTTAATGTATTTTGCAATGTCATTTGCTCCTTTGATAGCAAATCTTAATTGAAATCATCATTACTTCAGTCTTCAGTGTCACACAATCCTTCAGAAAGGATTCTAATATTTGGTGCTAAAAAATTCTTATTATTATCAATGTTGAAAATAGTGCTGTTTAATATTTTTGTGAAAACTCTAAACATTGTTTTCAGGATTCTTTGAATAGAAAGTTCAAAGAACAGCATTATAAACACAATCCCCCTGTTTAACAGTCAAGACTTAAGCCTAGTCTCAGACTAAAATGCATGCCTGGGCTGTAGGGCTGTAAAAAAAAAATTTGAATTTCAAATATTCGTCGAATTAAAAAAAAAAAATCCACATTCGAATGCAAAAAACGTTGCATTCGAATTTAAGGTCTGCGTCAGCCATCAAGCAGCCTTATCAGTGGCGCACGAGATGCGATGACGATGTATGTGTCATTGATTGCATTTGAATGCTTTTGTTAGCCTATCCAGTTGAACCCACTAGATGCGGCGCTGCTACGTTGTTCATTCATATATTGCAGAAAACGAGAGCATCCACTTACCTATGATGAGTTCACAGCTGAGAGCAGTGATTTCACTCGTTGGATGCGTCAGCGTCACGTTTGCATATGGCCGTACTATGCCGTCTGACAAACTATATTTTATACAGATTTTATTTTGTTTTGGCAAGTATTTAATTATTTTGAAATACGTTGGATTATGCAACAGACATGCAACTCGTTGTCTCCATGCAGTTAGTTAATAAACTATCGGTATCGGCCCTTTTCATGCTATTTCTGATATGCCGATGGCTTTAAAATAATCAAAAGTCGTCCGATAAATATCGGCGGCCAATACATCGGTGCATCCCTAGTATCTCCTATTCTAAATGTGATTTTACAATTGGACTTTTATAAATGCTGAATTAATATCCATCTTATCATTTCATCCCTTTAGACCCTGTTTCTCAGAACTCGTCTATCTCCTATCCTCAGGAGGTGAGGGCTACCCAACACTCGGGAGTCTCTTCCCCTGAGGAAATCTCCACCAGACCCTCTGTGGTGGGCAGACCCGGTCAGCGGGTACGTGGGGATGGCCAGGACGGAGATGCTGCCTCTTCTAGGTGCTTTATTCTCTACCTTTAAAATAAAATAGAAGACAGGATTTTCCTTGTTCATTTTTGAAATAAAAGAGTGTTTCCAGGCCTGGAAAAGTTTTTTTTTTTTGGATTATGATAAGCTGTAAAATATTTAATTGGTTAACCATTTCTCTTTGTACATGCAATTCTTTTAAAATATTTTTTAAAATATTTTTTTTTATTATAATTTTTAAAAAGCCTTGTCCAGAGTTAATTTACATATAGAAATTGTAAAGGTACAGAAATTGTACAAAAAGTACACTACTATTCAACCGTTTTGGGTCAGTAACATTTAAAAAAAAAAAATATTAATACTTTTGTTCAGCAAGGATGCATTACACTTACTGAAAGTGACAGTAAAGACTTTTACATTGTTACAAAAATATGAATCAAAAGAATTCAAAATAATTGCAAACAAAACTATATATAGTTTCTACAAAAAAATGTAAGCTGCACTCTTTTCTGTTTTCAACTTTGATAATAAAACATGTTTCTTGAGCACCAAATCAGCATATTAGAATGATTTCTGAATGATCATGTGACACTGAAGACTGGAGTAATGGCTACTGAAAATGTAGCTTTGCCCTCGGGAATAAATTACATTTGAAAATATATATATATAAAAAAAACAGTTATTTTAAATTATAATAATATTTTTACAATATTACTCTTTTTTTTTTTTTTATCAGATAAATGCAACCATTAAAAAAATCATATTCACCCCAAACATTTGACTTAAAATGATAAAATACTACAAAGTGTAAAATATGGAGTTTAAAGGCTATATCTACTAAATTTAGGTTTATGTTGGAAAAGATGAGAACTAAATATAGCGAAAGTATTCGTCACCACCCTTGAAAAATCTTTTCATTTTTTTAAAATGTTGCTCACAACCATTCATGTCTTTAGCAATTAAGAATTCTTTTTGATTTGTGCGGTACAGCGGTAGCAGCAGTCAGAGAGGGGCTCCCCCCAGGCCAGCCCAACAGTCTCCCCTCCCGCAGCCCCACCCGGAGCTCCCTCCGGAGATGGAAGCGGAGGACTCGCTGGAGCTGCAGCTGCAGCAGTGGAGCCTGGCTAGATTCGCCGTGGAGGCCGTGGAGCACGCTCTCCCTCTCATCAGGACAGGTGAGAGTCCTCTTAAACCCTCTTTCCTGTTTCAAACGCAGCTACAGCTGCTGCTGATCCCCTCACACGTATGCTTCCATCGCTTCATATTCCCCTCTTTTTTTCTCATCCCCACCCTCTCAGAGAGCCTGAAGGTTTTCCAACGGGTGCTAGAGCTGCTGACAGAGGCACAGGGGCTGCTGGGAGACAGCATAGCCCCTGAGGTGTGGGACGAGCACAGCCTGACTGCGATAGAGCTGGCAAGTGTCTTCAATAACCCTCCTCCACGGTGCAGATAAATAGCCATGAGGCTGATGTCTGCATTAGTGCATACAAACACACCTGTCGCTTCTCCGTCTCACCCACTCCACTTACTCTGAGGGACAGATGGTCATAAGCTATCTGCGCAAATCAGTCATGGCACGACCGTTGTTTTTTTAGGCCAGTTTTACCACTTAGAAGTCCCTGTTTGCTCCTGACAACTCAATACATATGCTATTTCCATCTAAAATATTTGTATTGGTTTAGTAAAATACAGTAAGACTTTACAGCTTATGTTAAGCTATAACTCGTTTCAGTATGGCTCTATTCAATAGCATTAGTAATGAAATAGCTCACATGAAATAAGAATGAACTTACTTTTAGAGCATTTATTAATCTTGCCTAATGTTAGTGCATTAATACATTTCAGGTTGTATAAATTAACATTAATTAATGTATTATGAATGAACATTAATTAATAATACAAAATACTACATTTTTAAGTTAACCTAGGTTAATAAATTTTGTTTAATTGCTGTTTATATTAGTTTATGATACCTAATTCATCAACTAGTGTTAATGTAATGAGCCTCATTGATAAAATATTATTATTATTATTATTATTTTTTTTTACATTTTATTTTATTTATTTAACCAAGATGGTTCCATTGAGATACAATATCTCTTCTATTATAGAGTCCTGGTCAATGTTACCCAATAAGCATATATGTTAACATTTAGGTATAATTATATTATATTATATTATAAATTATATTGCATTATATTACATTATGTTATATAATATAAATGAACACTGTTCAAATTCATGTTAGTTCATAATGCATAAACCAATGTTAAAATAGTTATTCACAAAATGTTAACGTTCACAACCTTATTGTAAAGTTTTACCATTATCATTATGCAAAGTTTACTTGGTTTCATTCAGCTTATGAGTATTTAACATAAAATTACATCAATGCATTGCATTATACTCATACCAAGGATTATGTAGGTCGCATCACACTGATTTACAAATTTGTCTCATTAAATGATGTTCATTGCCCGTAGAAATCTTTTTAAATGAACCCGTTGTGCTTAGTGTGTGTGCACACCTATGAGAACGTTCCCCACCGCATATGATTATGTATATTTCACGGCATGCCTCTCTCCCTCATTGATCTTTAATGCACGCTCATGGCATTTTATCTTGAAAAACTGCTGTCCTCTGAAAACTTTCTTTGAAATGCACAGGACTCTTGCTGCCCCCTGCTGGCAATAAAATGACATGAGATCAGTGAGTCTCTCAGTACTTATGTTTTTTTTTTTTTTTGTCTTGTGAAAGAGGGAGAAATTACAAGCATGTATAGAGACATTGGGAGATGTTATATGCTACTACCATGGCATGACTTCCTCTGAACAACCAGAATCGTCTCTGATCCACCACCGAATGGTCTTCACGGGCACTGCCATTTTCACAATACGTCTCCTGCAAACCTTGTTACCTGTGGAGAAGGTGAGTGAGCATATGGCTGTGCCATTCTTAGACATTAATAAGCTGTGCCACCATCGCTGAATGGACATATGGCCGTGTCCTTCATGGTCATTATTAAAACAAATGAGAGTGTGAAACACACCTGAAGTCGCTGTGAAAGGGTCAATTGTTCAGTTAAGCTGTAGACCTAAGGACAGCACTGTAATTACAGACAAATTCATTAGTGTGTGCTTGTTTAGTGTACATATGTGTGTTTATTACCTTATGTATGATGTCTTTACAAACAGGCTGGAGATAACCTTCCGGAAAGTACAGTGGCTGCCATTTTCCTCGTGTGTCTCGATTCATCCTTCAGTGTGGCGTACCCCCTCATCCAGGAGTCAGCCGTGGCGTACCTAGAACAGGCTTGCTTTGAAAGATACAGCCTGTATCGTAGAGTATCACGCGTTTCTCACTGCATGGAGGCTACATGCACTTTTTTAAAGGATGCACAGGCTGAGGTAATGATTGGATCAAACTTTCAAGACCAAATTACTTGTAGGATATCTACTTGAAGAATATGTATCTTCTTGTGGATTCAGTGAATTAAGGCATCCACTGTTGTTGAAATTCTGGTTGATACCGATAAGCTGATAATTATTACATAATGTTATAGCTGATATTAAACACTGTTAATAAACTCTAAATAAAAAAATAATGATTTGAGTCATTTTGAGGTTTCTAAAGGCTGATGTAATGCTTGGAAACGTTTAAAGGGTTAGTTCACCCAGAAATGAAAATTCTGTCATTAATTACTCACCCTCATGTCGTTCCAAACCCGTAAGACCTTCGTTCATCTTCGGAACACAAATTAAGATATTTTTGATGAAATCCGAGAGCTCTCTGACCCTCCCATAGACAGCAACACAACTGAAATGTTCCCAGGTCCAGAAACGTGGCAAGGACATCGGTAAAATAGTCCATGTGACTACAGTGGTTCAACCATAATTTTACGAAGCTACGAGAATACTTTTTGTGTGCAAAGAAAACAATAATAACAAAATTTATTCTACAGTTCTTCTCCCCGAGTTACCGTCTTCCGCCATTTTGGAGAGTACCCCAGAACGTAATCAACGTAATAAGCGTTGTTTACGTTCAGCATGTGCGCTTTTATCCTGAATGTAAACGACGCTGATTACGTTGACTACGTTCTTTGCCCCATGCTCCATCTAACCTGAGATCTAGCATGTAAGCCTGGATGCTCAGCAATCTCAGTAACTGATTTGGTACCGATATATCGGCAGTCCTAAGTTAAATTTTAATCAAGAAGATAGTAATGCAACTTGAATAATGGTTTGTCTTTAGACGACTAGCTCACGCAAATATTATTTCTTCACCCTCATGTCGTTCAAAACCTGTATGTTCTTATTTTCTGTATAACTATTACTTTAAGAATTTTAAGTAAAATTGATTCAAGTGAAATGTTTCTTCACAGGGTGATAAGAATTGGCATGAGCTTTTGGAACTCGCTGACCAAGGAATAGATGCTTTTCTGTACCATCAGCACTTACCGGTGGTGAAGGAGTGCGTCCAGATTTGCTCCTACCTGTAAGTTGCTCACAATTATGGAAACTGTAAAACCGCTATTGACATCTGCTGTTTTGTCTGGCACTGTGGAAGAGGCGTCATCGTATAAAAATCTGTAAAAATCGTGACTCTTCGTAGGTGGAAATTTGCACAAGCAAGCCCGCTCCTGCAGTCGGAGAGTCAGAAGATATTTCTGAAACTTTTGTCTCATCCTGTGTCCCCGGTGAAGGCAGAAACCTACTCCTGCACTCTGAGCATTTTGAAGGTACAAGATGTGCAGTGGAAATTGGGAGATAGAGCCTATTTTAAGCCACTTCCAGTAGATATGTGACAGGAAAGACAGGGAAAATTTCACCTAGTTTTGGAAATGTGAATATTCCAGCTAAACCAGCTACATTGTTGGTCAAAGTTGGACATTAACTGATCTAACATGGTTTTAAGTGCTTGACCCAGTCGTCCAGTGTTTCCTGTTCTGCAGTTCAGTGGCAAACCTCAAAGAAGAATGGCCACAATATATTACAAACAAATGACTCTTATGAACTCTGTTATGTTATTACATTCAACAAAATTAAGTATATTTTGTTTAAGATTTGTGATATTTAAGTGCAGTTAAATACTAGTATTATGTTATTAACAAATTTAATTATAATATTACATTTACACTACCAAGTAGTTTTATAGTTTGGGCCAGTAAGATATTTTTTAAATAACTTAATACTTTTATTCAGCAAGGATGCGTTCAATTTAATAAAAAGAGACAGTAAATACATTTATAGTGTTACAAAAGATACAAAGATTTCTATTTCAAATAAATCCTGTTCTTTATATTTATCAAAGAATCCTGAAAACAAAAATCACAGTTTCCACAACTGTTTTTTTTAACATTGATATTAATAAAAATGATACCCGAGTACCAAATCTGCATTTTATAATGATTTCTGAAAGATCATGTGACACTGAAGGCTGCTGAAAATACAGCTTTGCCTTCACAAGAATAAATTACATTTTAAAATATATTAAAATAGAGAACAGTTTTTTTTAATGTAATATTATTTGACAATGTTACTGTTTTTACTGTATTTTTGATCAAATAAATGCAGCCTTGAAAACCATAAGAGACTTCTTCCAAAAAATTGTGCCAATAAAAGTGTACCAATAAAATTGTACCAAAAATAGTATGTATTAAAATGTTACAAAAATCAAGTTTACTATATGTTAGCTATTATCCAAAGCACTTTTTAGAGTAGTTGGCAAGCTTGACCACCTGATGACCTGGTATTTTTTTTAGCTAGCAATAGACCTATAATATTTTCATCAACAGCTCCATTTGTTGGGAGTAAAATGCTGTTACCCTTTATAATGGTTCTGTGTAGTATACATTGAATTTCTATTAAATTGCCTACCAATTCTATTACACTCCACATAGGGTATTGGTGGCCCCTGAACTCTGTAGATGGCAATATCCCACCCTAACTTCATGCTCTCATCCCTACAGGAGTGTTTAGGAGTTCAGAATGTGGCCAAACCTGCCACATCCATCTGCAGCGGAGTGCATTTCTTGCTTCATTCCCGTGTCCTGTATGAGATCAGTATGTTTGGCCTTCAAGACCAAGCAAGAGAGGTGAATTATTCATCTTCCTGTTTCCAGCGAGACCCCAAGTAATGCACAAAGAAGAAATATTTTGATATACCAATGCACAGCTCGCTGATAAATATTGTATCCACGCTCCATGTTTAATGGGTTACTGAGGTCGTGCTAAGTTAATGATTGACATTGGAAATGCCCCTGTCTCACTGCTGTAGCTGGCAGTTGGTGGATTTGGATGAGGTAGCTTGTTGTAAGTGCAATATCATAGCGCCATCAACTAACTTTATGTGTGATCCAAAGGTGAGCGCTGCTGCCAAGGATCTTCTACTCTATCTGCTGAAGGGACGATTGATGATGACAGCTGCAAGTTGGAGCAGATTTAATGAGGCACTTTACCCGGTCATTCCCATATTACAGGTGCAAACACTCTCTCCTTTCTCCACATCTCTCGTCACACGCACACACAAATGCACAGCCGCAATATAACCGTCAAACTGGGCTAAAAAATAATTTCCAATGTAATATTAACGTGTTTGCGAGACGCCCGAGGCTGAATGGTAATATCCATGTTACGCCGCATTCTATTTTAAACAAGGTTATTTTGTACTTTTCAACAAGCGAAGCTGTGTTTCTTTTTTTTTTTTAAACGACTTCCACTGCGGGTGGGGTGGGGTTGAAATTGAATATTCATAAATCTTGTCAAGGTCATCACATTTGATTCATTTTTAGCTGAAGCCTCCGGGTAATTGGTTTGTGCTGTCAATAAAGCAGTGGTGAAATGGCATTGTGTGTTGTTTATTGTTTTTCCAAGATGGATTTAAGCTTGAGAGTCTATTGTCTGCCATGGTTGTGTTAAACTTGCGTTTTTGTATTTTAGAGTTACGCAAGCACTGAGGACGCCCTGGGAAACTGTATCCTGCTGATAAGTGAAGCATCTGCTGAAAAGGGAGATGAGGTGTGCTCACTGACTGCTAGACTGCGGGCGGCCCTCCGGCTTCTGTTCACCAAGCATCATGCGTAAGTTAAACGTGCACATCGGTTTGGATATCAAATAATTTCTTTCACTGTCTTAAGGCAGTAATTACCAAAAGATGAAAATTCTGTCATCATTTACTCATCCATATCATTTTCTTTTGTGAAGCACAACAGGAGATGGTTTGTATAATATTAACGCTGCTATTTTCTAATGAAAATGAATGGGAACTTGGATATCAAGGTCCTCAAATTAATAGGCAACATAAAAGCAGTCCTAGATAGATATATTCCAAATCTTCTGAAAGCATACAGTAGCTTTCCCATGTGAAAAAGAAGTGCCATACATTGTATTGAATGTGCGCTTGTAGTTTAATTCAAATCTTAAAAAGATATTTTCGTAACACTCTATTTTACCGTGCCCTTGTTACACGTTACATGTACTTACTATTAGAATAACAATAAAATATGCATAATTACATGCAAGTAAACCAAAGACAAACCCTAATCCTAACCATATAGTAAGTACATGTAGTTAATTAATATTACTCGGTACTTAAATGTATAATTACACTAACAAAGACACCTTAAAATAAAGTGTAACTGATATTGTTTTAAAACTGTACTTAAAGATAATGTGATATTAATAATGAAATAAAAGTACACTTAGAAAGAGTACACTTTCGAAACCATTTCTTAACACAATTAAGTACACTTTAACAAAGTTCAATTTGTATTGTCAAATTAAACATTTTACTGTACATTAAGTCATTAAAATATATTTTAATAATAATTGTGTCATTCTTTAGAGAAGTACGCTTATTTTGATGTGTCGACTAACATGCGAAAGTACTTTATTATAATTTTAGGAGTACTGTTATTCAATATTACATTAATATACAAGTAAATATTTTTTAAATGTATTAATTGCAATTTCATCATTTCAAATTTGTTATTACAAGTGTATTTGACATAAACACATGACATAAAAGTTAGAATGATAGAATAATCAAATCAAAATAATCAAAATCATTAGAAATGACATTACATTATATTTTAGTTTACCGTAAATGCTTGTCAGTACATTCCGCATTACACTTTAACAATATTTTTTTTTACGACAATAGAAGTAATTATGCAATTTTATATAAAAATGTACTACATAAGTGGGTCAACAAAGCTCTCTAAAGTTCAGCTAATTGCATTTAAAGTGAATTTAGTAAAACTATAATACGTTCTCATTTAATTGCAGTTGACATGCAGTTTAGTGTCCGAAAACATGAAATAAATATACTAAATGTAAAATATATTATTTTAGTAAAGTACTTTTAAAAAAAAAAAATATGCTAAAGTTTACTACTTTTTAACAGACTGAAAAGAAAGTTGTTATTCACAGAAAATATTGCTAGACAGTCGTGAACAGCATTCACTTTTATTGTATAGAAAAGAGCAGCTTGGACTTTAGGCTTAAAGTGGAAATGAAGCAGTCAGTCAAGTTTACATTATTTAGTAAAGTCGTGAAAATCAAATTATTTGTGTGTTAAAATAACATTTGTGTGTTCAAAATGTAAAGAAATGCTTCTATTACTTCACTGGCCATCGGAGCGAACCAACCCCGTGACGTCACACGCGGTGGTACTGCAAGATGGCGGCGCCCTTGCTCTAAAAGCTATAACAAAACATCCTTTTTTCTTTAAAATGGTTACATTAATCATGTTTGTTATATATTTTTTAATCAAAGTGGAAATCACTTTACTAAATAATGTTAACTTAACTGACTGCTTTACTTCCACTTTAATACCTTCTTCCCAAATTCTGTAAATATTTTGGCTCTGTTTGCAACTTTTAGTGTGAGGAATACAGCAGTCCAACATCTGCTACCACACCTGACCAGCGCTGGTGGAGCCAGACCAACCCTGGACAGCTCCACACTGTCATGTTTACCAGATCTCTACGTTCTTAATAAAAGTGTGGACATCAAGTTGAGCAATTCAGACAAGTCATATGTGAAGGTAAATCACTGCCCTCACTCAGCTGTGTATTAATAATGCACTCTAGTGTTGTATTGAGTAGTTGTTGGTGAAGAACCATTACTGGCATTGACATCATGTGAAAAAATGCTGCTTTATTCTTGGAGGTGTTGAAACAAGCTTCGGTTAATGCTCTGTTTTTTTTTTTTTTTTTTAAACAGGTGGAGTCTGTAAATAAGTTGTACAATATTCTCACGTCAGAAACGGTAGATCTAGTTTTGCGTAGATCTGCGGCTGAACAGCTGACTATTGTTCTGCAAGGTGAGGAATCCATACTTTTTATTTCATGAAATAAAATAAAAATAAAATACTTATTTTATGAAATAAAATAAACATTAACTGAAGTTTTATTTCATCTAGTTGCCAGTGCAGCATTTCTCATTTTTGTTTAGTTTAAGTTTAACATAACTAAAACTAAATAAACATGCTTAAAAAATGAAAATGATGAAAACTTATTAAAAATGTAACTAAAAATGATAACAGAAAATAAAAAAAATAAAGTCTAATTTTAAAATATTAACAAAATCTATAATGGTATATCAATAATGCTAAATGAACAATGGCGCATCCAACCACCCGCATTAATGGACTGTTGTCTTTTACATCAAATTTTCAAAGCTCCATTTTTCTCAAAACACCTCACAAACCAATTTTAAGTGTTTTGAAGCAATAGTTTTAATCTCTGAAACAAATTGATAAAGCAGATAACGTATTTCAACATGTGCTAGAAACAAAGCCAGTCTTGATTTATATTTCATTATGTTCTTTACAGATTCATCAATGCATGCTGTGCTGAAGGCCTTGGGTTTATCAGACATGCTCATATCTTTCATCACGGAGTGTGTCAACAACAATGTGGCGGTAAACCTCACATTCTCTTTTGTTTCGTGCGCTTTTTATCTTGAATGAATTCAGGAAACTGGTGCCTGGGCATGATGCTTCAGTTAATGGTGTCAGTCAAGAGTGAGTCAGTATTAATTCACATCTATTGCATGATCTGTATATCCCTAGGCTAAAAGCTGCCAGCTTTGTCGAGTATTCCGGCCTGCTAATGTGACTAATTAGCAAAAATTATGCACCGAAATGTCTGGCAATTATGCCACGAGCAGAATCCGATACGTCGCCTCCAATTGCCACGCCTAGTTAGTGCTGTTAATGTCAATGAAAATTATGCACCGAAATGTCTGGCAATTATGCCACGAGCAGAATCCGATACGTTGCCTCCAATTGCCACGCCTAGTTAGTGCTGTTAATGTCAATTGTGACTTTGCTTTGGCTGTTTGTTTTGACTGCTTGCCTTGGCTTTGAGGCTATCTAAGTTTTTGTGGCGTTATAGTCTTACTGTGAATGTTATGACTGCGGTCGGGATTTTGTTGACTGTGTAAACACTTCTAGACTCAATCATGATGACTTGTTATGACTTTTACCACTAGCAAGGCAGCACCAGTGGCATAACACCTTTCTAAACAACTTAGCACTTCAGTAGTTTATCGCGGATGTGGTTTTCCCTTGGTTTAACGGAGTGTGAAAGTTCTTCTGATGATGATTAAAACTTCTTTAATTATCTCACTTTATTTTATTCAGTACTTCCAAGAAGCCCAGGCCTTTGCAACTCATGTCTTGTGCCTTATCTACGGGATCTATTGACACTAGAAGGTTTTGAATTCAGGTTTTTATTCATTATGTAGAGCATGGATTGCTTGTTGGAGCCCAGCATATGCATGCTGAGGAAGCTGGTGTTTGCAGACCCCTCCCTGCGTCACAGTCTGGCTCAGCAGACGTCTCTTCTCATCATGCTGCTCAGAGGTACGGCCCGGAAAACATCCCTCCCAACATTAATTCATTCAGTTTACCGTAGATAATTAGTCCCAAGCACCAAAGTTTTGTAGGCACCTTTTGTAGCTGTTAGTTTTCTTATTATTTTTCATTCTCTTGGAGTTTATGTCAGCCACTTTGGTACAATGATTGGGAAGGATTTCAATGTTCATAGTGCCAATTTTGGGTCATTCTCTCAGTCCCTTTAGTGCCACCAACAGTTCATAATTCAGTAGCGTGGTCACTACTGTTCAAATTTTTGACATTGGTAAGTTTAAAAAAGAAATGTTTTAAGAAGTCTCTTACGCTCACCAAGGCTGCATTTGTTTGATCAAAAATACAGTAATATTGTAATATATTACAGTTTAAAATAAGTGTTCTATTTGAATATATTTTACAATGTAATTTATTATTTTAATGGCAAAAATTAATTTTCAGAATTTGATGGCATGGATAATACCAGGAAGTGAGAACATGTTTAATTCATTTTCTTATTAAACCGATACTTGGTAGATGTCATTGTCATTATTTCTTACTGGTGACAGCATCACCCGCTAATCAAAATGTCATTAAACTAGCTGAAACTGGCATAATTTTGGATAATAAAGTCATGATTTTTCTCTCCATATGCTTGTGAAGGCTTAATTGCCATGGTTTCAAGGTCTGCAATCTTTTACAAATATTAGACCACCTGCACATCAAAACTCATAAATATGAGTAATTGGATATTTGAATTTCATAACCATTTCAACACATGCAAACAACTCGGTGGCAATTTTTAAAAACAAAACTTCATTCCCACCATGCCCTAAATGTTTAAGCAAAGTTTGAAGTTAGCAACACATACTGGTCAATAGATATAAGCAACATATCTTCTAGCCTTTCAAACAAACAAACAAAACTGATTACATGTTGTGACATCACAGATCTACTGTGTCTGCTAAATCTACTGGTGTGTTTGGCAAAGGGATAGTTCACCCAAAAATGATTTGCTCACCCTAAAGCCATCCTAGGTGTATATTAGGGGTTGCACCGACTAATCAACTAGTCGACTTCAATGCTCTTGCCATGACGCTTTAAGCTTGACGTCGACTAGTCGCTGGTCCTATAGAGCGCGCAACAGGATAAGAAATCTTTGAAGGACTTCCACATTTACGCTCCATTTCCAGACAGTTCAAATGACAAATAAATGCATACTCTGAAAGCGCTCCACAAGACATGTGTGATTATATTACTGGATGCTCGAAATTGAACGGGAGAATGCACGTTTTAAACAGCTTATTGCACAGGTAAGTTAATCGCCATTCTAATCTAATGCGCTGCTGCACTATAACGCACACACATAAGCTACAGACAGTAGCGCGTACATCACGCGCACAGAATCATTCAGCGCGGAAATGTATTGTCAACACTGTTCAGTGATTTCTCAATAAAATAGCTTAGAAACTGAAAAGTTCAAACATATATTTCTTAATAACTAAATCCCACAGCTTCACTACTAGTAGAGAGACGCTGCCAGGTAGAATTAATTCACACACGCAATCGCTCTCACTAATGCATTCATATTAATGTAATCTTTACTGTGCTACTTTATCTGAATCTGATTTAGAATGAGCAGAAATCTGTGAGAAATATAACGACCCAAAAAATAACTGATAAAAATGAGCTGTTATAAGAGCCACCTGGGATGGCTTGAGGGTTAGTAAATCATGGGGTAATTTTCATTTTTGGGTGAACTATCCCTTTAATTGCTGCTCGTAATTGCACACTTTGTTTATTTTTATATTTACTGCTGAAAATGCAGAGCTGTTGCCACTCTCCTTCCAGTTCTCTAGTCTAGACTAGAACATTGCACAAATGGCAAATGTAATTTTTATGTATGCCCCACATTAGGGCCAACCCTCTACATTGCGAGTAAATCACTCTCATATGCGACTAAATCTTCACTCTGGGCGACTAAATGATGTCTAATATTAGCCAATTGCTAATAAATTCTCAGATTTTACTCGCCAGTGTGTGAGTTGGAGGCTAAGCCAATGGCGATTCAATTGCCAAGGTGATCGTAGAGGGCTGAGGGCTGTGCAGATAATCGAATGCGATTTTCATGCGCATCTCGTCAGTAAAGCCGGCTCTGTGATTAGTAGTAAATCTCCAGCATGTGCTTTCAGATGGAGCGGCATTTACTACACAGAGCCGTAGATCACTGACAAGCTACGCAAAATCGCATTCATAATCGGCAATGAATCGCCTGCGATTTTGAACGCGATATTGCGTAGCTTGTCAGCTTGAAAATCGCATTCGATTATTTGCACAGCCCGACCCCACACGTTCTGACATTTACAAGCATTTTCAAGTGAAGAGCTCACCAAGTATGCTGTTGCTGAGTGTTTGTGATCGCCTAGAGTATGGTGATGTAAAATTTGTTTTTCTGGTTCAAGCCCTTTTTGTTTTGTTTTGCTTTAACAATAATATATAATTGATGAGTTGTTGCTTTCCCTGATAATAGTTTTGTTTTCATGTTTTATTTTACCTTGCTCTCGGGATGTAGCCCTTCAAGCTACTGCACCACAATTAATTAATTATTTAATTAATTATTAATTATTTTTAATGTGTATATATACTGTACGATTCCTGCTTTGACACCTTTGTACATTTAAATGATTGCTCTCCTGGTAATTTGACTTCTTTTGTTGCATCTTTTTAAGCTTCTCTGTTGATAAAGGAGAAGCAGGGTGATGTGAGCGAGGCTGCCGCATTGATGTGCATTCTGCTGTTTGATGAAATAGCAAGAATGGATGTTTGGTATGTTTTCTTTGTTGTACAATCTATGTGTCTATATGTAAAATATCTGCACCCAGTTGCATTCAACCCTGTCAGTAAACAAAACCCTAATTGGTGACCTTCTTATAATTATGAATAAGTGTTTTCTTTAACTTAAAAGAATAGTTTACCCAAAAATTTTAAATTAGCTGAAAATGTACTCAACCTTAGGCCATCCAAGATGTAGATGAGGTTGCTTTATTGGAACAGATTTGGAGACATTTATCATTACATCACTTGCACACCAATGGATCTTCTGCAGTGAATGGGTGACGTCAGAATGAGAGTTCAAACAGCTGATTACAACATCACAATAATTCACAAGTAACACACATGACTCCAGTCCATCAAGAAAAAATCTATCATTAAGGTGTTTTAACTTTAAACTGTCGTTTCTTTCATCCGTAATCCAAATCGGACATATTTGTTTAGTACTGTTTTACGCTATTGTCACCTGTAAGCGGTGCTTGATCTGTGCATATTTCTCTCCTGATTTGGACGAGATGACTTTTTCTCTAGAAAAAGGACTAGCAACGGTTTGTTAAAAATGTCTTAATGATGGATTTGTTTCTTACAAGCATGCAGCTTTTCACTTCACAAGACGTTGTGAGTGCGACATTTTTATCAGCTGTTTGGACTCTCATTCTGATGGCACCCATTCACTGCAGAGGATCCATTGGTGAGCAAGTGATGTAATGCTCAATTTTTCCAAATCTGTTCTGATGATGAAGCAAACTCATCTACATCTTAGATGGCCTGAGAGTGAGTAAATGTAAGGAAATGTTCATTTTTGGTGAACTGGTCCCTTAAATGTATACTTCACCCAAAAATTAAATTAAGTGGGGTCCATTGTTGTTTTGGACTCTAATGACTTTCATTGTATAGACAGAAATGCATAAAAACCAGAATGCTGTGGCTCACGTTACATTTTAACATCTTTGTTTCCTGTTCAGGACTGATAAAGCTGGCCCAGACACAGGCCTGTCTTCCTTCTCACTGCCTGCTGCCATTATACGGAGGTAAATCACATCCATTATGACATTCTAGCCGTTTAATTTCACCATAACCTTACTTTCAGAGTTGTCATGGGTAAATTAAATGGTGATTTAACTATTATTTGACAGATTAATTGTGTATAAAATGTGTTCTCATAATTTCTCACAGGTATAATCTGCCGTTTCAAGCTCCTTCACACCATGCAGTGAGTCCCTACTGTTCAGTTCTTCCTCCATACTCAGACCTGCTGAGTCTGAAGCCTGCTTGGGAAGCACTGCAGATCACCTGGAACACAGCATGGCATTCTGGGATTGATGGACTGCTAGAGCATCTGAGGGGTTTTAGGAGTGATGTACCTGAGTAAGTTGGATTTGGGTTTTCAGAGATTTTGAAAATGTTATTTAATTTGTAACACTTTACAATAGGGCTGGGCGATATAACTAAAAAAATTATCACGATATAATGTTTCATATCGTTCGGTATCGATAATTATTGACAATTTTTTATAACCTTTCTTAAACAGAGAGCAGTAGAAAAAAGGTTTATATTTAACCACTGTATTTTTAATTTACCCAATTTATTAAGACAAACAACAACTTATTTTTGTCTTAACAAACAAAATAACAAATAAAGCAAAATAAAATAAAATTGAAACAAATATCTCCTTTCTTATATTTTATATGCAGATTAAATAAGTATTAAGGAAACATTTGGCCTGTCTCCTGAGGCCACAGGAGGGTGCACTGAGCAAAATAATGCACCTCATTAAACGGTTTATTCAATGCAATGAAAATAACGGCTGTCTATAAAAAAAGTATATAATGTCTAAACAAAAACATATGAGACGCAGTGGAATGGAATAAAACCCCTACAAATTCTCGAGACAACCTCTTTCAACTTTACATGGCTTTCTATTCAACTCTTGTGCGAGACGCGAGTGCAACAGTCATAGTTGTGCGTCTCAAGAATGTGTCGAATATCCGTTCTGTGTGAATGGCTTGGTTTCGGTTTTAACCTAACCAATATCTTTTCTGCATTGAGCTTCTATAGTTCTCTAATATTTTGAATGGGAAATGCAGCAGCGGCGCATCTTGTGGTTTCAACTGGATATAGACTAACAAAAACATTAAAATGCAACAACATCATCCTCACCGCATCTTGTGCACCGCTGATAAGGCTCCCTGACGCACACCTAAAATTCAAATATACCGTTTTTTCATTTTAATGCAATTTTTTTTTTTTTTCGACTAATATTCCTTTTTTTGATTCACAGTCATCGCAGGCAGGCACGGCACGACACTCATTTCAGCGTGTGTTTGTGTGTTCTGTTGGCTCTCTACTTGTCACTCATAACACGCGCCTTTAAATGAAAAAAGCGTGAAACTATTGTGCGATATATTGAACATTTTTTGTATCGTTATCGATGATGGTGTACCGTCGATAAATATCGATACCGTTTTATCGCCCAGGCCTACTTTACAATAAGGTTTCATTTGTTAGCATTAGTTAATATTACAGCATACATTAATATGTCATTGTCAACATAATAAATTCAACATTTACGAATACATTTTAAAATCAAAAGTCGCATTTGTTTAATTAATGCAATGTAAACTAATTTGAACAAACGGTGAACAATTATATTTTACTGACTAATATTAACAATGATTAATAAATGCTTTAAAAATATATTGCTCATATTGCATGTTAGCTAATGCATTTTAATAAGTGACATTTTTTAAATATTTAATTTATTTGTTTTTAAGCACTAAAATTGTATTGAGCATTAGAAGTTTTGGGTAGTCAATCTGGATCATCTTAAGAGTTGAGACAAATCGCTTTCATTGTTTAACAGTTCTGAAACTTTAGCAGCGTACAATTTATGTTTTAGGATAAACATCATTTTAATACGCAGCAGCTGTTGTTTTGTTACCAAGATTAAAATGATTACAGATCTGCTGGCAGTAAACCTTTCTGGCCTCCTTAAAGAAATAAATGAAAAAATGAATTTACTGTCATCCCAAACCTGTATGATGTTATTTATCTGTGGAAGGAAACTTTTATTTATTTATTTTGAAGAATCTTTATGTAACTCGTGCAATACATCAACAGTTCATGGTGACCATCTGTGTAAAAAAAAAAAAAAAAAAAGGAGGAATCAGACAAATTCATTCTGGAGTTCTGAATGTCTTAATGTTTTCTCGCTACACCTCTTTAACCCTCATTTTTTATTTCTAAGGTTTCATGGTGAACTGGTGCTGACCGAATCTCAGGCGGTGGTCTTAAGAATAAGCAACTTAAAGTCCGGGTTACATAACTGTGTTCACAAGGTACGGGACGCGAGCTCCCACAGCACCGTGACCTTCGCCATGACCAGGATGCACCTGTACCTCCTCGCAGACCACCTTGCACTCAAATCCACCGCCCAGAGCAACAAGAACATCCTGCAAACCCTGAGCTGGCACAACGCTGTAGAGAGGTAAGCTCTCTGTGTGTTGATCTATTGATTTGTTTTCCTGCACCTCCAGATTTGTGATTTGTGATCACCAGGCATGACTTTGCATGAGCTTGATGGAGTGCACCAGCATATTACAGCGCTAAACAATGAATAAGCTGACACATTCAGACACGAAGTGGAACAATGTTTTATCTTTGGCAAAATAAAGCTTGTGCTACGACTATATATAGTACTGTTCAGAAGTTTCAGGTCAGATATTTATTTATTTTGTCTGAAAGAAATTAATTCTTTTGTTCAGAAAAGATACATTAAATTGATCAAAAGTGACAGTAAAGACATTTATAATGTTACAAAAGACTTCTCTTTCAAATAAATGCTGTTCTTTTGAACTTTCTATATATCAAAAAATCCTGAAAAAAATGTATCATGGTTTCTGAACAACTGATAATATTTAATGTTTCTTGAGCACCAAAACAGCATATTTGAATGGTCTTTGAAGGATTGTGTGACACTGAAGACTGGAGTAAAGGCAGCTGAAAATTAAGCTTTGCCATCACAGGAATAAATTACATTTTAAATAAATAGATAACAGTTCTTTTAAACTGTAATGATTTTTCAAAAAAAAAAAAAATCAGCCTTTTTGATCAAATACATGCAACCTGGTGAGCATATGACATTTAATATAAAAAAAATCTTAGTAGCATAAAGGTAGTATAAAACACTGCAGTGCGATAAATTGTGCATGTGTTTAACCAGAGAATGCACACAGTCTAAAGTGAAATAAGTATTTTGTATTAACCATTTTAAAAATAATATACACTTACAAAATAAGACACATATTTTGACCCTTTGAACATTGAGAAATATATAGAAAATGATGCATATTGTAGCAATATTTCTCAGTATAGCTGTTTTAATGTATTTTTAATCAAATAAATAGTACAGCCTTGGTAAGAGACTTCTCTCAGAATCATTAAAAATCTTACCAACCCCAAACATTTGAATAATAAAGTAAACTGTTTTTATTAATCTGACAGATTTTTGATGGTACGTCCAGCTTGCCGTCAAGATGAGAGGCTCTTGGTGGACATTTTGTCATTCCTCAACACCTTCTTCAAGCAGAACCAGTCTGAACTGGACCACCAGGACCTAAAATGGCTCTTAGAATTACTCCTAAACCAGGTATTCCTGAATAAACCACAGCTGTCTTGAATCTGTTATGGATGAGTGCCTGCATTTCTCCGAGATTACTTTGGAGACCTCGTAAAACAATAAAGAGACTTATTGTACCTTGGTAATTAAATTAGTTTGCCCTCCTGCCTCAGATGCACCTCACAGTGTGCTGTATTTATTAAGAAAAGCTGAAATAAATCACATTGCGGAGCAATACAAATACATTAATATCATATTAACGCTTGTAACGGAGAGCCGTTCATCAGCAGTCATTGTTTTTGTTTCTCACACTGGGGATGAATGGCTTTATTTCTTAAGTCTCTTCCTGCCTTACCTCACATTAATGTGTATGTATGCAAACAAACCTGACAGAGAACGCTGGGTTTGATGAAACGCCTGGTGGGAGAGGTGGTGAAATGCAGAGAGCATCCACAGTCGCTGGAGTGTTTCTCAAACATCTGTGCTGTCTAAATGAAACACAGGCACTACAGTGCTTTTTTTAAAATGGTGCCTGCTAAAGCAAGCACATGCTTATTAATATTGCTTTGCACCAAATTTTAAAATGTAATCCATGCTGCATCATTAGAGCTTCGGACATGAATGATTGCTCAAATCGTGAGGAGGAGTATACTATTACTTTCGAATGTTCTAGCAACCACCTGCAAGTGCTGATATTCATAACTAAAACTATTAAAATCATTTTTGTTAATTGAAATATAATAAAGCTGAGATAAAATAAAACATATTAGATGGAAAGACTTGAAGAAACTTAAATTAAATTTAGAAATGTTGCTTTGTCAGCTAACCAAAATAAAGTTGAAGTACTAAGATTACATAAACTGAAATTAAAATAAATTAAAGCTAAATAGAAATATTAAACGACGAACTGACAAAAAGTGAAAAAATGGCCATCACATAAAATCACTAAAATTAAAATAAACACTGAAAATATAACAAAAGCCAGTTCAAAATATTAAAGTGCCCCTATTTTGCCATTTCCATTATTACCTTTCATGCAGTGTGTAATGTAGCTCTATGTGAATGTAAACAATCTGTAAAGTTGTAAAGCTGAAAGTGCACGATAAATAAAGTTATTGTCTCCCAAAATAAAGAATCGACTCTGTACAGCTGAAACGAGTCGTTAGTAATTCGAATCACACTTCCGTGACGGCTACACGTCACGGGGTAACACATTTGCATAATGCTACGTTTGATCCCGTCTTGACCCTTGACCCCGCCCACAAACACATCATTCTACTGACGACTGCTTCTCTAATCTCGGCGAGTTCAACGCGGGATTCACAAAACGCTTGCTGTTGAAAGATGGATCAGTATCCTGTTTATTTGGACCAGCTGCTCCACTGAATCACAACCTGTAAGTATGATAAATAATAGATGTTTATATTTTCTATAGAGCATTCAAAATACATAACTAGTGAAATTGGCGTATCGTTTCCGACACGCGCTGTATGCCGTAGACCAATCACAACAGACTAGGCCATCTGACCAATCAGAGCAGAGCAGGCTCACGGAAAGGAGGGGTTTAGAGAGACTGAATCTTAGAACTGCTTCGAACGAATCGTTTGAGAATCGCTGGAAAATGAGGTGATATTAAATGCATATTTTGAGAAAACTAAAGCGTTTTTTGACCTTGCATGCATGTAATCCTATTGTAGGAGACTCCCAAAACAATATTAGGAACCGTAAAAATGGCATAATATGGGCACTTTAATAAAGACAATAGTATATAAATAATACTAGAAAAACACTGAACTGAGAAACCACATGCCAATGCAACCACCCACAACATCATTGCAATGCCATAGCAGCCATTTAAAACGGCATAGAAATCACCTAGTGTCCGTCCTAGCAACTAGAACATCCTAGCAATCGACTAGAGAACCCTATGTAGGGCCCTATGATTTCCGAGTGCGGAAAACGTGGATGGAATCGTTGAATCCAGTCATAAAAATAGAATTTACTGTATATCGCAGAAAGTCATGGAATTTGTCAAATTTTGGATGAATAAATTAAAAGTAGGTCAGTACACTTAAATCAAAATGCGATATGGACTGTGTCTGACTATTAAGACTCAAAATACCATTTAAATATAATCCTGCATGTTCTGTGTCTCTGTGTGAATGAATGGTGCAGACACACGGTTTCTTTTACTACACACATACTGAAACGCTAATGACGCTCGCCGTGTTTTCAGGATCTGCCGTCTTAAATGTATGAGTACATGAACACAATCTCTAGAACTGCTTTGAGAGTCACTTCATGAGCATTTTACCATTTCTTTTGAGAAAAACTATTGTCATATCATAAAAACAAAGAAACTTAAAGGTCTTCACAGCATCCCATCAAAATAAAAGTTGGGTTTAACTTGAAGAAACTGTGACAGAAATATATTACTTAATGTAATGATAGTTCTACTACTACTAATAAAAGATTATTAAAAAATTTTTAAGGAATATTTACCAGAAAAATTATTTATCAGAATTTTAAATTATTATCAGAAAAATGTAAATACACAACACCGTATTTCTGGAAAAATAAAAATAAAAGTTTTTTTTATATATAAAATCAATTATTTAGAGATGCTTTTGATTATAAAAATTTAATGAAACCATTAAAATGGAATCCAGAAAATTAATGGAAAAACAGAATTTGGTAAAAATAAAACTAAATGTGAAAGAGAAAAAAGACGTATTTCATAGGGCCTTGAAAATGTCATTTTTGTTAAACTTTTAATAAATTGCTGTTAAATTGTGTCAGTTCTTCAGAAAGTGTAAAATCTACTTAGTCCATGTTGTGTAAATTTGTATCTAAATAAATATGAAGGAATTTGATTTCTAGTGATGCTGACTGAGTAATTTGTAATAAAGCTGCTGTTTTTAGTGTCATTCCTATGACAGACGAGGATGAGGTTGGTGTCATCAAATTGTGTTCAGCTGAATCTGGAGGTATCCGAGAGCCGTAATTGACAGATCGCATTAAGTACCTGTGTGTTTGTGTGTGTAGGAGTCGCACACCCTGCTGAACTTGTTGCTGAGTGGTGAAGCGCAGACCCACACACGGATCCAGTCACAGGGGGAAGCGGACAAGCTCCAGGCCCACCTCAGTCACCGGCTACAGAGAGAACTGACAGGCCTCTTCAACACTCTGCTGCTTCGAATGACACACACTTCTGACAGGTAACACACACACACAGCGGTGGGTGACACAAACGCAGGATAACGACTCACAAACTGAATGAGTCACTCTCACACACACAAAATGACTCACTTGACTCATTTAGCGACAGACTCACACTTACTGACTCACTCATATTCTTTAACACATGCAGTGAACCATCGGACTCTATATATAGAACAGTCCCACACACACTGTGGCACCTGAGTCCTGTTTGAAGACCATAAAAAAAATATTTCTCACCATTTCTCTTGACTGACTGTTAGGCCATAATATACTACAATTCCACAGTTTGGGGTTGGTAAGAGTTTTTTAAATGTTTTTGAAAGAAAATGTTTATGAAGTCTCTTAAGCTGAGTAAAAAGAATAATGTTGTAAAATATTATTATTTTGATATATTTTAACAATGTGATTTATTCCTGTTATGCAAAGCTAAATTTTTAGCAGCCATTACTCCAGTCTTTGGTGTCACATGATCCTTCAGTAATCATTCTAATATACTGATTTGTTGCTCTAAAATATTCTTCTTATTATTATCAGGGTTGACAACAGCTGCTTAATATTTTTGTAGAACCTTTTTTTAGGATTCTTAAATGCTGTTCTTTTAAGATTTCAATTCATTAATTTTTAATCTTTTGTAACATTATAAATGTATTTATTGTCAGTTTTGATCGATGTAATACATACTTGCTGAACAAAAATCCTGCTGACACCAAACTTCAAATGGTAGGCCTATTTACCAGAGTATTCCAGCTATTGTAGCTAAATCATGGCTCCCGCATACATGTATCTTATCTGGTCCCGCTCCCGCCCACAACATTCATGTTTTGTCCCGCTCCCGCGCGCATAAAAGTAGCCTATATAGATTTTTTTTCAGTACATCGATTAAATTTACATGAAATAGCTCTGTAACATCTTGTAAGTTCCACAAAATCACAGCATAAACGTTCCTATTAAAATATTGTTATTAAGGCTACGCATCAACATTCACAAATCACTGTAACAGAAAAGCAAGCACAGGCTGCTGCGTGCATGGTTTGGCATGGCAGAATTCCAGCAAACAGCGCTCCCTTATATCACTAAAAAGCTGACATCTCAGTTCATCGGGATCTCATAAAGCTCTGTTATAACACAATGAATATAAGCACAATGAATCTTTCACAATGTCTACAATTCGTGTGTTAATAAGATGATTCGTGAGCAGGCAATATTCAGCACTGCTTTTGAGCGGTGAGTGGATTCTAACTTGAATACCTCTGATTGGCCATTGCGCTGCAGAAATCAACTGATATGTCTGTGATTGGCTACATTGCTCGTGCTGCAAACACTTGTTTTAAATCGAAAATGCCTGTTCTTGCGCCTGTTAATCATTTTTATATTATATTAGTTGTTCTTGTTGCTTTTGTGCAATAGATGAATAACAATTTATATGTTTTTTAGATATTTTATGTTTAGATATTTCTATTTTGCGGTAGTCCAGTGAATCATTTTATTCTCCCACATCCCGCACACACACGAGTCTCTACCCGCACTCGCCCAACAAGAGTTGTCACGCGCCGCACCCTTTTGCGTTGGGTCCCACGGTACTCCCGCGGGATTGCAGGTCTCTACTCCCAACTTCTAAAAATGAACTACAATTACTAAAACCTCAACTACAATTTATATATATATCTAGGAACTGCTTATCCTGTTTTGCTGTGAGACAGGGGGCATTGTCCTGCATGAAATTTGTTGGCTGATTGGGAGATGCTTGCAGGGAAGGAACCACATGTTGCCGCAGGAGGTTCTGATAAACATTTGCATTTACTCTGCCATGTACATGTAGCTGTATAAGAGGCCCAACTCCTGCTGCACAAAACATCCCCCAAACCATGACACTTCCTCATTTCACTAACTTCTTTACAAACTTTGGGTTCAGTCTTTCCTTATTTTGATGTGGTACATATAATGTTTCCCATCAGACCCAATTAAATTAAACTTGTTTTCATCACTAAAGTGAACGTTGGACCAGTTCTCTCTCCACACAACATTGTCCTCAGCAAAAGTGAGCTTTGCCTTTTGATTCTTTCTGCTGATGAGAGGCTTCGTCATTGCAGAGTGCACTTTCAGTCCGACTTCTCTTAAACATGCCGAGGCAGACCCTTACCCTGTTCAGCATTGAACTGGCAAGCAATTCCAGCTGCAGTGTTGAACCGATTCACCATTGAGAGTCTCTGCATTATCATCTCCTCTCGTGCATTTGTCTTTTGTGGATGACCAGCCTTTTTGGGGGACTTGAATGAGTTCCATACAATACAATAACTTTTCAGTTTCAACAATAACTGTTCTTTTTCAAAAATCTCATTTAAATATTTTATAGTGTGCCTAAGAATACAATTAATTTATCAAATATCCTTTTAAAAACTGCCCTTCTACTCCTGTTATGATAAGTTCAAATGGGACTAAGCAGTGACCTTGAAATTTAGAAAACTGTAAGTTATTCTCTAATATTGATCTCCACTGTGTATATATAATTAAAATTAAAGATTAAAAGCTTCACCAATCGAACCTGATCATGAATACTTTGCCGCACACTGCATTTCTTGTGCTTGACACTCTCCTGTGTTTAATCAAGCTCTCGCACTTAAAATGTGTGGATTTCGTAATGCACGCAATGTTACCTGCAACCTCTGTCCCACAGGCTTTACAGTGAACGCAGTGCATTGAGCCTTTTTTCATAGCAAAGCCAATCTTTCAGCCACTTTCTTCAAAAACTCTAAGCCTTTTCCACTGATGGATCCACATTCACCACATGATCTCCATCACCAACTCCAGGTGTTGCATTACCTGTAATTTTAGGCAGCTTACAAAAGAAATGTGTTCTTTTCATCTTCTCTCTTCAGCACTTTATATTTTGCGTGCTAGTTAGCTCCCTGTCACGTAACAGTGGAGCACAGTGAAAGGGATTGATTGACGGCTAATATTAATCAATCTGGAAAGTCTGCATTAAAGCTAAGAATGTACAGATGACGTTTAATTGGTTATGTAATGTTGGATACAATGGTGGACCGGTCACTGTATCAGCTCACAGCAGGCATATACTGTGCAGTAATTAGTAGTGCTGTGTTCAAAATATCTATACGACGATGTATCGTCACAGAGATTTGACGTAGCATCGATACAGCTGACCCTGTATCGATATTGTGGCACGAAATCGGTCAAAATTGAGTAGAAAAGTGCGAGGTTTCTAAAAAAGAATGAATAGAGCATATATAGGCTACAACAAGGTTTAATCTGGCCGCAGAGGAACACAACTGGGTTGCCTGATATAAAGAGACGTAATCCCCGAAACAGAGCTTCACACTTGCGCAATACAGAAATATCTGCTAAGTGTGCTACTTATCTTTGTCAACCTGGCAACCATGTGCACACGCCTTGAGCGTGTGTGCGTTAGATACGGTGAAGACAGCGCGTTAGTTTAGAACTCTTCAAATTTTTTTTTTTTTATTGTAGAGAGTGTGTTAATTTGTGCAATGATAACCTACCAGCAATGTAAGTGATTTTTTTTTTATATATTAGAATGAGTACATTACAATATACATTTATTAGAACGAGTACATTATTATTTATGGGCTTAAAAACAAGATGCAAAAAATCTGAATATTGTACCTGATGGGGAGTGCCCAATGTAAACATGTAACATATGCCATTACGTATATTGTACTGTGGTACAGTTATGGAGGCCCTTCATAATGCAGAGGTCAACTGCCTGCTCTGCCAATAGTTAGAAATGGCACTATAGCGTGCAGTGTTTAATAAACAGCTGTTTTTCTAAATTCTGCTGAGGTGAAATTCAGTGCAGTCCTGTATTGTGATATGTATCGTATCGTGGCCTCTGTATCGTGATACGTATCGTATTGTGACTTTACTGGTGATACACAGCCCTAGTAATTAGTGAATGTTTATTTGCATTTTTAATGAACAATTATTTGCATTTGCACAAATGCTCCCAAATATATATTTTATCACACAGATTAAATTCCGGCAGTATATGCGACCAAAATGGTCGCAATTTCAAACCTTGTAAATATCTTTCATTGAAACGTTCTGTAGTACATATCAGCAAAAGATTTTGTATTAAGAAATTGTGTCGTGCTCAAACCATATGCACACCACAGTTCAATGTGACTGAAACATGTGCGCTAACCCCTGCTTCACGACCCAAGAAGCTTCTAAGATTTTTTTTTATTGAGTAAAAGAATGATATCATTCTTTGATCTGAGTCTTTTTTCTAACAGGATGATTGGTTTGGAGACCGCTGTGTATTTTAATTAAATCTTCAAGTGTATTCAAGAGCCGTAGCTGCTATTGAGCTTAGCTTACACCTGTGGTTAGTGACGGTGCGAAATCACTCTGTCACATCTGTTTGCTCCCCAAAACACACTCATTGAAACCATTTAGTCCAACAAGGCAGATTTGTTATTCCAAAAACACTTCCTTTACTCTTTGCCGTACATGCATAAAATGTTTTACTATCCTCATTTAGGAGTCTTCTCCTTCTACCTGCCATCTGGGGGGAAATACAATTCTAATGACGCTTTTGATTTAATTTTGTTATTTATGGAATAACTCTTCTGAAAACTCCTTGAGGATCCGTAAATTGGAAACTCCCACTGTTAGTTGTTGATGTATCAAGGCCGTGTAATGCAAATCTGATCTACTAAGACATTTCCCTGCATACATTTTCAGTTTATGAGCAGCAATCTAACAGGTATCATTTGTTTGGGGTGCTTGTTATGGCGCTTCTATATTATAATTGTTTGTAATCCATAATAGAAGAAAAGTACTTTGGAAAAACAGCATGAATGTGTTCCTTAGCAAAAAACACATGGATGGAGTGGTTTCAAATTCATACGATCTGGACGTTTTATTTTATTATTATTATTTTTAATTTATTTATTATTTTATTTTTTTACTTTCAGACCTGCAACGTTTTGGTTACCAGCCCTTGTCTTGAAGTACTTGGACAAGACAAAACAACAAAACAAAACAAAACAAAACACACTAAGACAAAACAATAAACACTGAAACAAAACAATAAACACTGAAATAAAACAATAAACACTGCTATAAAATAAACAAAATAATCACTACAATAAAATAAAATAAACACATGATCCTTCAGAAATCATTTTAATATGATGATTTGGTGCTCAAAAAACATATATTTTTAATCAATGTTGAAAAAAGTTGTGCTGCTATTTCTGCAGAAACCATGATAAATTTTGTTATTCAAGATTCTTTGAAATGAACATTTAATAAAAATAGAAATATTTTCTAACATTATAAATGTCTTGACTGTCATGTTTGATAATTTTAAATAGTCCTTGCTAAGTTTAAGTATTACTGTATCTTATTTACCCCATACTTTTGAGGAGTATTGTATATAGTGCTTCATACTAAGGCAAAGATCCCTATAATGATGACTTTGTTTCTCACTCGTTTGCATTTGTCATCTTTTTTTAAAGGATTTGTGAGGTTCTGTCTGGACCGTTTGCCTCTGAACTGTCACTGCGCCTGCTACAGTGCCTACGCTTGTCCGATGCTCCATGCTTCTATGGCCTGCCATCTCTAGAGCGCACTCTCAGGACCATGGCCCATGTGACCGCCCTGCCTGGCTGGAGCACACACACACCCAACATGGAGCCAAACACACTCTGCCTCAAGTACCTCAGTGGCCTCTTGGAAGTATGCATACACACATGTGCTCAATTGCCTTGGTTCCACACTAGAATATATTTTGTACAGATTATATACACTTATCCAGACAGAACACATTAAACGCACACTCACACTCAGGGTCCAAGATGTTCCCAAACACTTAAGCATGAATCACTTCATACCGACCAACCTGTGTCTCAGCTGCATCTCACTTCGCATTATGAAATTGCTCTTTCTCCAGACTGCTAATTATGATCGTGTTCCTATTTGACTGCTCTTCCCAGGTCATCTCTTCATTCTACGTAGATTTGGGAGGAAACTCGATGTCCTTCATGGGCAAAGGAGTGACAAAAAACGCAGTTATCTGCCTGCTTCATCTGTCACATGAGATGAAGGAAAGTAAAAATGAGGTCAGAAATGCCATTGCAATTGACACTGATAGCACAAGGCTTTAAATCTGACACTAGGGGGTGCTAAAACTTATTTTATACTACGGGGCCGTTGAATGCTTGAATCTGATTGGCTGACGAACGTTCTGAGGTGTGCAATTATTTTCAGGGAAACGCACGGCGAACGTAGTTCCAGGCAGCTCTCTTGACCGCATTACAGTTCCATATCACTTCGCATAGTTAACTGTAATAACGGAAATTAGCATACAGTACCTATACAGCACACAGGAATTACTGCAACCACACGTGCTCGCACACACACACTACGGTCACGCAGTTTGCACAAAAAGGTGTCGTCAGCGCTGCCCTGCCGATTTTATCGCTTAGCC